CTTATCAAGATGAACTGGTTTAACACATCTCGACATAATATTGCTATCAAATGCTGTTAAGTGCTAAATTTATCAATCATTGCAAACAAATGTACAAGTTCTTTTTAAATATGCTGTTTAGTTCACCTTCTACCCGTTCTCTTTTTTTTTTTTAATTTAAAAATAATGCTTAAACGATTAATTTAATGGTAGAAAATGTTTCGATTGTTTTTCTTAAATTATTACTTTCTATTGATTTTTAATTTAAGAAATAAAAAAAGATTGCGTATCAAAATGAACTGATTTCATTGAAAGTACTCTGAATTTATGAGAAAGAAGAAAATTTACGATAATAATAGTAATAAATTGATCCATTACTATGTTTTCTACATGTGGTAAATTTATTTTTATTAAAATTAATTCTTAACAAATTTAACATCAGTGCATACATTATTATTATTCTGGTTTGAAAAGCGTAATTTCAAATTTACTACTCTTTAATATTCTCAATTATGTGTAATTATCGTTTAATTTTTTTCCACCCACTCATCTTTTTAGATTAGAAATGAAGAAATAAAGTTTGCTATTAATGTGTTAACTAATAACTCATTTCGTATGATTAGTTTTATTTTTCTTTCATTAAATGTAAAAAATTTTTTTAATTTCTATTCTTTTTTTTCTGCTACAGGAATTTCAAGTCACCCAATAATTGATTAACTAATTGATTGATTGCATATGTAAGATTGTATGAAAAAAATTTTAGAAAATTTTTACAAAGCAAAAATTTTGCTAATGTGATAAGTGATATGAAAAAAATTAATCGTAGAATTGCAGAAAGTTAAATTGAAAGTTTGGAAAAAAGGAATAAATGAATGAAAGAATTAGGAAGGAAATTTTAACAAATGTTCGTAATCAATGTTATTCACAATCTTGAATACTTTTTTCCTCTTCAGATTACTTTAGCAAGTGCAAATTTTGCGGTTTTTTTTATTTTATAGTATTTGAATTTTTTTTTTCAATTAGCAAATAGAATTTTTTTTTTTTTTTTTGCAATAAAATACTTATGGAGGGAGAAGATTGAGAAATATTTGCACTAATGCGTTATTGAAAATTTCCTAAAAAAAAAATGTTAAATTTTTTCTCATGAAACTATCGATGATGTGAGTGTAAATTTTGAATGAGCTTCGGATAAATTGGCTCATACTCATTGCAATCATTTTAATTATCATCGTACCATCTATTAAGTTAACTTACAGATTTTCAGATTACTAAAGCGATATAATTTGTAATTTAAACTAAGTTATTAGTGTCAGAAAGTAATTAAATAACACACATACATCAGTATTATTTTAACCATCGATAAAAATTAATTGCAGTCTGTAATGAATGAATTGAATTATAGAATCGTCTATATTATCAATCAGCGCAGGAAAATAAGTATAATAGTAATTAAGTAAATATCAATTTGAGAGAAAATTATCATGATTATTTCATCTTCTATCATTCCTTTCAATATGCTCCAATCTTTCCTAAAATCAAATGCAAATTCTGAATTAAATAATCAAATATTGTTGACAATAAAATAACGCATTTGATTTAAATGAATTGACAGAAAGAATGAAATAAAATGGAAATGAATTATTTTCCTCTATTAGAGAGTGTGTGAAATGTGATATGGTAAATTATGAATCATTTTTGGGAAAAATTTTTTTTTCAATGAATACTTCCAGGGAAAAAAGGGAAGGGAAACGAACTGATTAATGTAAATTTTAATGGGAAATTTACAAATGATCGTACTATTAATGCATAATCTGATATTACTTCCGATTACTAAAAGCTAGTTATCACTCAGTGGCTGTTAAAAATTCATAAAATTTTAATTTCAAGATCTTTTATTTAATATAAAAAGCCTGAATTTAGAATTATAAAATTTAAATTTTCATCAAAGTTATCAAAATGGCTGGATTTTTTAATGAGTATAGTTCTTGCTATTGAGCTCTCAATATGATTGCGGCAGATTCATATCCTTTTGCTAACCTTTCACTTTTATCATCATTCTACAAGAGTTATTTACTTCTTTATTTAATTCTAAATATGAGCTAAAATGTTTGAATTTAGCTATAAGACTGGCTTAGATATTTAACTGTACTTGTATATTTCAAATAAACTATGTGAATTTCACATTTATTCATTTTCAGTACGTAAAGGAATGACACGTTTTAGTCGTAGTCGAACGCAACAATCTGTCGATATCGATATCAGTGATACGAAACCAATTCGGAAAAGTAGCGATGATAGTTTATCATCATGGAGGAACTCATTGGTCAATTCAAAAATGGTTCGTGTGTTTAATTATTTACATATATCTTTTTAAACCTTCACAATGAGAATGCTTTCTGAATGATTTAAAGATTATCTTCGTCAATCTTTGACCTTTCCCTATTTCATATCATTAATTTTGTAAAAATATCATAGTAATAAGAAGCTGAATAAGATGAATTATGAAAAGATTTGAAATAATTAAAATTAAAGAGCATAAAGCTTAACTATTTGAAAATAAAACTTTCCAGCTTATTTTCTCATATTTTATTTTAGGTTTTTTTTTTTGCTTTGGGATGGACTTAAATTGCTATTTTTTTAAATCAG